CACTCTTCCCCACCAGCAATGACAACATCAGTGCTAACCATACTCTTCACCTCCGCATCTGCGAAAGGGTCTTCAGGCTCCTTCTCTTCTGTAGGTGCAGCTTCAACCTTATCCTTTACAGAAAGCGCGATCCCGCTCCCAACATTGCTTGAATCCTCTCCGGAGATCTCCCATCTAACGTCGACAGGCTGATTCCGCGCCTGGCCGTCGGTAGCAAACCGCGCGACAAGTTTCTTGGCACCATTTTCTACATCTTCAGGGCTGATAGAAACATCACCCAGCTTCCATACCAGACGGCCCCTTTCTCGTGAGAAAGCGCCGACAGGCTTGGACTGACATGATGAGGTTGCGGCGCCTTCAACACCGGTGGAGAAAATAACATTTTTCATAGTGAATGCGCCAGTAACACCGTTCAAGCGCCGGAATAGCGGGTTAGGCTTCCAGTGCACAATGACGGAGCTCTGGTGGGGCTCGATCCGCCATACAGGGTTGACAATGATTGGGGCGAAGACATTCGTATTGTTCTCGTCAACATGGATCTGATACTTGAATGCGACGGAGGTTCTATGGATGTTGGCAAGGGAGAGGGTATACTCTGCAACATGGTCGGGAACAGCAGTTATGAATGCTGGGTTTGGTGCTACCTTCTCCAACAGGCTGAAGTTATCGATTCGGAGGATCTCAGTGGTGGGGTGTGAGGGGGTGTCGTGGGGATTGTATGCAACCGCGATTTCGCCAGTGACTTGGGTTCTTAGTGGGGCGCCGTTTTCAAAGGACATGCTTATGGCTTCTATTAAAGAAGCAGAAAGCCCCAGTTCATTTAAATCTGGATGCCTCATCTGGGAGTTCGTAAGGCTTGTTATGGATCTTGAAGACCTTATTGATAGGGTATCCGAGGCACACTCGGAAGCGGCATTGGACGATTTAGGGGTGTATTTAATTGGAGTAAGTGGGGGCGACGAAGGCGTTTCAAAGTCTTGTGGATTCGGAATAAACATAGTATTTCGCACTTGACTAGCATCCCTCCGTCCCCTCGTTCTTCGAGAAACCGTATTTTGTTGTTGCTGTAAGCTCTAATGTCAGCTTGTTTGCTAGTCATGATCACGTGATAATACTTACTGCTCTTAGTGTAGATGTGACTTTTGATAGTGCAGCATCTGCTTCTTCCTCCTCTTCGTGAATTACGTCGTTTTTAATCTCGACCTTGAATTGAGGTTGGCTTTGTTCGCTTTTGAGTTTGTTAGCCCAAACTCATTGCTATATTGAGTGTGTCTTAGGGATCTCACTCAGTAGCCTCATCTGGTATTGAACCTTGCCCAATATCATGAATTGGCGGCGGAATTGTGTATCCTTCAGCATCCGTTTGAGGCTAATCTGATCAGTATATTTCCCTTATACAAAAAACGAAGAATCGTGCTAACCTCAGAAGCTGTGACAGTCACAGAAGGAGTAACGGCGCCTGGTATCTGGTTGCTCTCGGACAAAGTCGTTGCAGTCTCAGGACGACTCTCCCCGTTCGTAGTGGGTGTAGGCGGCGGACCATTTCCAGTTGAAGGCCTCGGGGGTGTTGCACTACCAGAGATCCCCGCGGACTGGTGTTCTGGAGAAAGGCCATTGTTCGAAGGCGACGCCGGTGACGGCGGCATAAGCCCAAGAAGACCTCGGCCAGGACCCCCCTTGCCATTTGAGTCCGGCCGCTTATCTGGTGATGCTGACCTGAAATAGGGTATCGAGCTATTTCGATTTCGGCCTCTGAGAACAGTGCCTAGCCGCTTGAGACCTAAAGAAGAGCCTTTAAATCCTGTCAGTTCATTAAGATACGGAGCTTGATTTGTGCAAACATACCTCCTCCTGAACCTCCTCCGGAGCCGGAGGTGTGAACACTGACAGCATCATCTGTAACAATGGATGGTGTTGACGGCATACCTGGCACTGGCGGGCCACCACTGCTACCCGTTCGGCTTCTTAGCCTCTCAATCTTCGCCTTCCCAACTGTAACCTTGTTCGCAAATCCCTTGATCTCATCGTTGGTATTGATATCCAAAATTGCATTCAGCGTCGTCTCAGCAGCCTGCATATTCCTCTGCGCCTGGTCCAGCTCCAATGTTTGCCATGTCGTCAGGACATCCCGTAGATGATTACACCGGCTCTCATCCGCTGCCTGGAACTTTTCAAATGCGAATGGCGCCTGGCTCTCCCACTCGCTATTTGCGCTCTCAACTCCCTTCGCTGCCTCGGCTACCTGCGCGTGTTTCGCCTTTTGGCCCCGTCGCTTGATCTTTTCAGACTTTTCCTCCGCCTGGTCGACGGCCTTTGCCGCGGCCGCTAATGTCATCTCCATGCTCTTCATTCCCGACCATTCGGCATTTCTGTTCGTGAAGTCCCTAAGCGGGCGCTCCACTTCTGTGTCAATGCGCTGCGCAAACTCCTGGTGCGAGATTGCCAGGGCCGTAGTCGAGCTGGCTATGCGAGTCCATGGACCTTGAAACACCCTGAAAATGAGGAAGAAAAAATGTGTGAGGAAGGATGCAATTGACAAGAACCTGCAAAGCAGTAAAGGCAAAACTGTGGGCGACTTACCCTAAATCCGAACCGTCCCCTTGTATCGTTCGCTTTGCGAGTTTGTTCAGCCCTTGTGCGTAAGCTTCCTCGACTCGTCGGCGTTCCTAGCGATACGGTTTAGTGGGGAGAAGATCGCTCTCGCTAGCTAGCTAGCTAGCCAGCCAGGTGCGTGGAGTGGTATGGTACCTGAAGCCAATCGGCGATCTCAAGGTTTAGAGTCTGCACTCTCTGTAACCGATCCCGGAGAATCTTGACTGCAGGTGTTGGATGTACGGAGCTCTACATGGGACGGAATGGGACGAAGACAATCCCAGAGAGGTCAGCGATCAATCATTCCTCCAATAAACAGGAAAACATAGCCCTGGGAATGAGGGGAGGCAATGGCAATGGCACCTGTTGTGAGTGGGAAATAAGTGAGGGAAAACACAAACCACAATGCCCGGGTACTCGGAACGTGACAGTTCCATGGTGTAGTTTTTTTTCTTCCTGCTTGTTTTTCGACTTTCTTTCGCACACTTTCAGAACCCACCAGCGAGTATCAGGGAAGCGCAGAAGAGGTATGAGGAAGTGAAAATAACAGTAGCGATCGATGACGATGCTGATAAGGGGTGTGGAGAGGGGTGTTGTCGATATACTGATGGGTATGCGTGGTGAATACAGGCGACAGTTAGTTAGGCTAGAGCATGTACGTAGACTCTAGTATTACATGTAGTAGCTGGTAGTAGATGGGTATATGTATGTTGACGAGTGCGAGGCGGACGGATGAGATGCAGGAAGGGGACGGGGGGAAAGTTCTGAGAGAGGAAAGACGAGTGGGTTAGGTGTCAATCAGTCAGTCGGGTCTCACTCAATCAGTCAAGTCCGTGTGGTTGTCTCACATAGGGAATGTGGGCAGAATGTCTAAGTAAAGACAGGAGGGATTGGTAGCTAATTAGGAGTTATTGGTATGTGTAACCATGTATCGTTGGTACATACCTTGAAAATACTCGGGATAAACAAACTCTACTCTACTTCCAGATGGCCAATAGATACTCCGCAGCATAGAGTATATATAATCCAGCATAATTACCTGCAAGTGCAACAATTACTCTCTCCTCATTCTTCGAGCACTGGCCTGTGTCCTAGTCAGCCGAGATGATGTGGCTTGCTGTGCGAGTGCCAACAATACCTACTCTTGAGTAGATTGAGTACATACATGTAATTCACCAAGGGTAAATCATCCCATCATGCTTGTTGTACCTACAGAACCATGGCCAGAGCTTTACCCTGTAAAATGCCTCCCGCTGTGGCATAGTCACTGAGCCACTCTCCACAACCCCTACCAGCCTACATGCTCCCCGGGAAAATCGTAGACACGGTGTTGAGGTAGGCAGGCACTCTAGGTTATTCTCCGGGTGGAACCGTTGTCCGCAGAAAAAAGGAAAGAGAAAAAAAGCGCTCTCAAAAGCACGATTGAAAGAAACCTCGGTCAAGTAACACCACTTCGATTCCAGAAGCTCTACGCTCTTCTAATCACTTCTTCCACTACCGGTACTCTAACTGGCGTATGTGCGTGTGATGTGTGTGTGTGCCGTGATTGTGAGGAATAACTTCGCTTAAAAGACCTATCTAAACAAATTCATCCATAAAGCAAAAGAAAGCAAATTCCCCCTCATCCTCAACTTCTGCTTTTATCCCCGCACCCACGCACCCTCGCAACTCGCACGATATTCCGCCCCTCTCCGCACCGCAACCACGCATTAGCAATGTCTTCGAACACGCAGCAGTCGTGGAAATCACTACTTAGCTTCACGGATAGATTTACTGTCATTGATCAAATGTTGGTCCCGTTTGATATTCCCCTTTTTTACTAGTTTGTTCACGATATATTACGGACTCCCCCACGTTCATGTGTTGACGTTTCCCCGTTGTTTTCTTCCGCAGAGCCTCATCCTTAAGACTAGACCCTACATTACAGCATTCCCAGACGCTCAAAACCGCCCAGGAGATTGAGACACAATGTTTCAATGAGGCTGATACAGAGGTACTGCGAGTTCCTCCTTTAGTCGTGATTTTCTTGGTGTTTTTGAACCGAACTCGAGTTTACAGCCATTTGTCTGTTGCACCTGTGTCACGTGACACATCATAATTTGAAATTTCCACTCACCAATTATCACTCGCTGAACATTGTGTATCACTCACAGGAAGATTATACCTACGCCTGGAAATCAAAAATCTCCCAGGAAACCAAACAAATTCCTCTACCCACACCCTCCCCTCCATTCTCTCCACCCACACCAAATGGGTTCACTTTCAGTGATGCTGTCGGCGGCACCACATTAGGAAAATATACCTCCTGCCATCACCATACCTCGGGCCTTTTCTCCACCATCTACCGGGCGACTTCGCATCATACCACCCACCAACTTGTGGCCCTAAAGCTTACTAACCCCGCAACCATGATTGCTCCGCATGATTCCAAAAGGGAGGCCAGGATCCTTACGCAGCTCACAGGCCACCCCAACATCATCCCACTGCTAGAATCCTTCACCCTACCCCCATCTAGCTTCGTGCTCGTATTCCCGTTCTACAACTACGACCTCAACATCCTGCTTCATGACAACCCCGGCGGGAAGGACCTTACCCTCCAGGCGCGGCTTTCAATCCTCCGCCAGACTGCCGAGGCCCTGGTATGGTGCCACGAGCACGGCGTGATCCACCGTGATGTCAAGCCGAGCAATATCCTCGTCTCCGAGCCCGGCACTTCTGTTGTTCTCGCCGACTTTGGAATTGCATGGCATGCATCTGATTCTGCAAGTGAGCCCGCGGACGAGAAGATCACGGATGTGGGCACGACTGCATACCGGCCACCCGAGATCCTGTTTGGGTGGAGGTCCTATGGGCCGGAACTGGATATGTGGGCCTTTGGGTGTGTGGTTGCGGAGTGCTTTATGGCGCCGCAGGAAGAAGACGTCGAGACGTTCTTCAATGCAGGGGATCTAGGGAGTGAATTGCGGCTTGTCGGAAGCATCTTTGGAAAATTGGGAACGCCAACAACAGAGACGTGGCCAGAGGCGAAGCGATTTCCTGATTTCGGGAAGATTCTGTTCCATGTTTTCCCGACAAAGAGCTGGGAGGAGTTGCTACCAGGCGCCAGTGTAGAGGTGAGAGATTTGGTGGGGAGATTATTAGTTTATGAGGGCGTCAAGAGGTTGAATGCAAAGGAAGTCGTGGCCCATGAGATCTTTAGAGGGGTTTCGGGTTAGTCAGGTTTATTGACAATGCATGTTCATTCATAAGACTACATATCAAGATCTATATAGCTAGAATTGTGTTCGATAAAACGGGGACATAAGAAAGATCAAAACCAACCTAAACTACTAGCGAGTGAGAATCTATGATATAAAGACACACGTATTGAAAGAGAAGTTCGACTAATCGTCTTACTTATTTCGTTGCCCCAGTCCCGAGAGTACCAATATGGATCTTGTGCCAGACCTGGGGCGCGGGGAACGGTGGCTACATGTATATAGCAAAGATTGAAGTAGGCTAGGCTCTGGTGACGTAGATGGTTTATATATTTACATCTGGTTCTTGTCCTGACACATACAGGTAGGAATATAATTGATGTAGACGAGTCTACATACATGTAGTCTCATGCCTATCTCCTACGGGCAGCTCGTTGCTTTCCGTAATCATTTACTGGCAGTGGAACGGAGCCGTGGGTAAATACATGTACATGTAGCTACATGTATATATATAAGATCTTATGCAATTGCAATGATCCACATAAAAGTCAACTACATGTACATGTACACTTACATGTACCTACATGTATGTACATGCACGTATCAAACTTACCCGCCCCCACCCCTACGACCTCCCTCTCTACCTCAACTTGCACCCAGTGATGATGCATGTCCCAATTATATAATTATCTGGGCTTATCGGTTATATGGCATCTTACCTCTCCGCCACATAACCTAGCACAACGACCCTACTTTACTACTACACCTACCAACGTAAACCATATTATCAATACATCATAGAATAAACTAACCACTTCGATCTAAGATGATAAACCTTGGGCTAATGTTTCAGTTTCGGGACGTGGTCTTTACGGTTTATGAACTATAGTGTCTACTTTGGTTGAAGACAAGCCTGAGGGTTACCAAAAGTTTTCAAGTACGCCTGACCAACTTTGTCTACTATATTCATGACATCTCACTCGTGGTTATGAGCTTAGGAAATTCCTATTGATGAATGATAACTAATTATTGTATTCAGCCTAGGAAATTCCTATCAACCGTGGCGGCTTCAATCAAGTCACGCTAGTACAGCCTAAGACTTTGAACATCAACAAATATTGTGGTTGATTTACATGCATGGCCATGGCTTTGATCGATTTTATGATCAAAAGAACGATTTTCATTGTTTATAAACCTATTTAGACAATCCACCCCAGAATTGATAAACGCCATATGTATACCCCCATCCCAGTACGATAGTATAGTACACTACATGTATATCATGACTAAAAGCCATAGAAGATAAGTTCAAGAAAGATCTATATTACCATCTTTTCTCGGTCTACCTCTACCCCTCTTTACTACCTGTGCTTCTTCGCCTGTGATAGTGGTAGTAGATGCAGTAACGTTGACAGCGGCATTTTCGTCCTTCCTCGGTCTACCTCTGCCTCTCTTTACCACCTGTACTGCTTCGTCAGAAGTGGTGGTGGTAGCGATATCTTCATTCTTCTTCGATCTATGGCATCTCGGTTTCTCCTCTTTGTTGGTATCAGAGTCGCTGGCCATCGTCTCTCCTGCCGCCTTTCTCCTCCTCCTCACCCTCTCTACCGTCTTCAACGCGTCCTCATCGATCTCAACCTTATCCCTCGGTTCCACCTTCTTATTTGCTGCAAAACTATCCCTTGCCTTCTTCCGAGTCTCCTCAAGCTTCACGAGTCTCCATGTACATCCCTCCTGGAATTCGCACATGCCGCATTTCCATGCTTCCTCGATCACCACGCCTCTAGTTGTCCTCTCGCCCTTCCACCATTGCATTACATCATCTAGATGTCGCTCCCGCACGTCCTCCTCTACCCGCCATGACCGCTCCGCGATCACTTCACCATTACCCTGGAAGCGGTATGTCACACCGACTGTGTCACCAATGCTGTCGATGGCTTTAGCATACTGGGACAGCACCAACGACCACATCCCCGGGAGTGAGTTATTGTCTAGGAGATCTTGCAGTGAGATGGCGGACTGCAATGATGCAATTTGTGCAATGAAGGCGTCCGAGAATCGGGCTGTCGGGGAGAGGTTATGGTGCGCAAGGACCTCGTTAAATGGAACAGAGGGCAACGAGGCGAGCAACGTGTGGTAAAATGTTAACTGCAGCGATGCGGAAAGTTGCTGTGACTGCCTAGGTACTGTGGGCGTCATGCGGGTCTTGGTATCTGTGATATAAACAACCTTTGGGACATCGTCAGGGCAGGTCGTGTAACTCTCATCATCCGACGGAGTCTCTATCGCCTCCATCCCTGCCTCCACCTCCGCCTCCACCTCCGTTTTATCTGGCCGAGGGTGGTCATAAGTTATCTCGTCAATAATTCCACTAATAAATATCCCATTCAACCACCCAAATACTTCTAGCTCTCTCGTCATTCCATACTCCTCTAGTGACTGAAGTCCCTGGCATATATTGAACAACTTAAGTCCCCACTGGTCTTCTTTCGTTCTGACCGTCACAGGCACCGTCGTATGTACCTCCTCTTCTAGCACCTTATGTAGCCTCGTTCCCTTTCGCATCGCCGGCGTTTTACGCTTAAACCCCGTTTCTAACGTATACATAAACTGCTGTTCACACCACACGCCACTGACCAGATCTGTGACGCTCAACCGGCCACGCCTCGACCGAAAACGCTCGTACGGAGATCTCCCCGGGAGTGGCGGGGAAGTATCAGCGGCCTCCATCTCGGGCTGCGCGGGACTGATCGTTGGGAGTGTTGGTGTTGGGCCTGCGCGCGCGACGTCAGCCTCGGTCTGTAGCAATCTTTGCGGGCATATTACTGGTCTGCGGAGGCTCGGTTTCGTACTGCACCACCAGAGATGCCTGGTTGAGAGACCGCGCCGGGAAATCATGATGTGGGAGCGGCGGGTATAGATGTGCTGGATCATCAAGAAGGTTGAGGAGGTCGATGTCAGTAAGATCGATGTCGCTGCCGTAGTCACTACCACTGGCAACTGCAGTCGACGTTGAGGAATCGTGGCCGTCGAGGTCTGGGAGGTTGATATCGCTCCCGTAGTTGCTGGACGATGATGATGATGGTGGGGACATGGTGGTAGTGTATGCGCAGGTAGTGCACAGGGAGGACGCGCTCGAGGGGGTTAGGTGGTGGGGAGTGGCGATAGCGCGTTATCCGGATGCATCCATGAAGATCGAGGATGCCAAGTGTTTTTTTTTATTGTTTGTAGAGTTTTAAGGGGTAAGGTGTTTGCTGTTGTAGGGATTTAGTTTTATGTTGTACTGAGTTTCTGGACTCGCTTCAGTATTATAACTATGTATATATGTACACCCGCAGGAAAAAAGTGAGGAAACAATGAGTAGCGTGACAGCAAGTGCATCTAACTTGACATCCCCACACCCCCAATACAGCCTCACGAGTATTCCCTAGCCATGCCTTTTGACAAGTCCGGAAAGTGAAGAGAGGCTACTCTTAATGAAAACATAAAAGTTATTGAAGCCCAAGCTAGGGAAGAGTGGGAAAGGCTAGATTGGAAAAATGTATATAAAATCATTGACAGCATACCAAATAGAATTGCAGTAGTAAAGAACAAGGGAAATCATAAAAAGTGGTAAATATAGTTCAGAGGCCGTAGTATCTATTCTGTATCTCATTGTGTAGTCATATTACTTCTATTCATTTCCATTTTCACTTTTTCATTAGGGTTCTGATTGGTTGCACTCGTTGTTTCCTCACTTTTTTCCTGCGGGTGTACATAAGTAACGACCAGATATCGTGGTGGTCTTGGTTATATAGCCGAAACTTACACTCACGGCACTGGTAGGAATGCAGCAACGGGAAAGGAAAACAAGCAAACAAACGATCTCGCACCTAATTCTAGGGTAATTTTTGTGGTTATAATGAAGTAAGTACCCGGCGCTATAAGATATCGATTTAAGGTTACTATATCTGTTAGGGCATACATGTAGTTATGTTGAATCACCAGATATCACTCATTCTATTAGCACAGTAACGGAGCCATGGTTACAAGTATTTGGGTTACCTAGTTGTATTGTTGACTCCTTCAGTGACTTATATATACGCATACGAAGAAATACTGGACGATCACTTGAACCAATTAATATCAACTTTAGAAGAGGTATTAATATACCTGCCGGCCTGGTACCCAGAATATAGTTATAAGTAAGATGGAGCAAAGTACTAAACTACCCTCCACGGTTACGCTTGGGTTTACAATTCCCTCGACCCCCGATGGCAACAACACAACGAACTACGAGAAAAAAGGTATGATATATTTATGTGTAAATTACTCGCGCGTTAATTAAGTCCTGGAAAATTTTGTGAGGTCGTTGCTACCAAGAATTCTCAGGACTTAATTAATGCGTGAGTACATGTAGCTACAAGTCTATGTTCATGTCGGAAGGGCATAACACCTAGTGCGAGCCCGACTCCCTATTGGAAGAGTAGGACAAATGCGAGTCTGTCTTATATAATTATGTTGGAAGAGCAGGACAAGTGCAAGTGGTGTGTCTACAGCTTGTAGGTTATGCATAACGTGAACATTTATTTGTACCCGCACGAGGTCCTTGACCAACTCTTTCCTACCTGGAAAGTTGAGGCCTAGCCGTTTTTTTTATTGTGGATTGGTGCGAGATATTCCTTAGAACCTGTGTTAAATGTGACCTTTATTTCTCACAGGTATGTTGCGTTGCTCATTCCATTGGGAGTATCTTAAACCTTCGAGGGTATTGTAAACCCAAGCGCAACTGTGGAGGGTAGTTTAGTACTTTGCTCCATAAGTAAAGTCACAACCCCCCCCCCCCCCCCCCCTTTTTTTTTTTTTTTTTTTTTTTTTTTGATATTGAGATAAAGATGAACTAAACTACGTAGAGCCCGCGCACAGAGTGAGTAAACAACGGTTCCATATGATCTACCATTTCCCACGAGGTCGCTATGAGACAACAAAAAGTTTCTAGTTTGAGAATTACGACATACGTCTGTACCTGCACCCTCTATCTAGTAAGCATTATGCCTGCTTCATGTACATACATACATGTAGTATATCAATTCAATTACATATACATAAATGCACGTCTCTTCACACCCCAGTGTTTTTAAAAGTGAAGACGCACTGTATGATAGTTCCACGCGCGCGGCCAGGTACCGCCCCGTTAGACACGAGGTATGTACCACCTCAAGGCCAGGTTTTGAAGCGATAATGCAGATGAAAAAATTATACGAATTCCGATAGCTAGATAATGGAGGCATCTATATATGTTTAATTGGTTCCCTGAACGGTGGAGGTTATTTCGGGGGTACGACTTCAAACCAAGAACACTGATATTATTCCACATTTGCGTTGATAGTTATATTATATATATTCCCCGGCCCCACAAAGTGATATTTAGTCTAATCGCATGTTCCCTCTTATTAGCCATTTCGCACCACACAACTTCTAGCCCAATCAGACAGGGTTCGATTTATTACTGCACCCCGTCGGGGCTGAAGTGAGTCACCCACCCACAGCAAGTATTTCAGCGGCGGGAGCTCAACAAACCAAATAAATGTTTGATTACAAACGCAACATGAGATAGGTGTAGGTTAATACTGTAGAGTCCCTACTCTAGGCCGGTGAGACTCAAGACTTAGGCATGTAAAGGTCTCGTCTCGGACATACATGTATGCTCGCGAACGATGGGGCTGGAAGATGGGATTTCGCGTTTATGGTATGTTCTGGACTGAGTGATGTCTTCATTGATTTAATACGACGTATGCGAGATGACACAAGGTTTAGGGCTCAGAACGGAGCAATAAGGTTTCTCACAACATCAAGTTGGAATACCTGTCCAAAATGGGAGGATAAACCGCGACCGCAGAAGTTCAACATTTTTCTCCAGGCTTCATTTACTCCACTCAAAAACAATCCTACTTGCTAAACTGTCAGGCTATTACATAAACAGTAACGAAAAGGTACTTACGGTCGATAGATACTCTAGGTACTCATGTTGAGATAAAGTACAAACCTCTCCGTGTGTTTTAATACGCGATAACTGACGTCCAGTGCCTAAAAATAGATAGCATCCATGCGTTCCTAGATCTCTCCACACGGGTAAAACTAGGAATGCGTACCTGCGTTAGCGTTGTAGCGCCACTGCCCAAAGCGGACGGAGAGTTGTTGACGAAAAAACTTCGAACGACAAGGGTCCTTGTTCCTGCGTTGCTAGGATTTAAATTGCGACCACTAGCTAACCTGAGCAGCCGAAATGGTGCCTTATCGTCGTGCTTCTGCTCCTGCTAGATCGGGGGCAGAGAAAGAAGAAGGAAAAAAAACATGATGCCCCTGTTGATAAATTGCGGGGAAGGTCTTGGTTGAGGTTATTGAGAAGAGAGAGAGAACCGGGCGAGCTTTCTTTCTTTCGAGTCGGTCGGTACTGTGAATATGATGTCGGCTCGAGGGCCTTAGCATAGGATCAAGGTACGGATATGCTGTCATGAACGTCTGTGCTCCGATACACGGTTTTACAGAAGCCTCCGCCCTGTCCGCCTCTCTCTCTTGTTGTGTTGTGTTGGAGCATATAAGCTGCACGCGGATATAGGGACTTCCCGGTAGTTAAAGAACTATTGAGGTCCATGGCCAGCCAGGTGTGCGCATATGTATGAACAGGTGGGCGGAAAGCAACATTGTTTCTTCCGTCTCACCAAAGACTAATAACTTCAAGAACAAGAAGGTGTTATACAAGACAAATTGGACCTCCGTACCTGGAGGATATACCCCATTCTGCGCTGATGATCATGGCATTAATTCGGAGTCTCCGGATTACAGTGAAAAAGGAGAATGATTGGCCCTTTTAGGCGCGGCCGTTTACATTCGTGGTTCGAAGAACATCGAATTCTCATCTTATTTCTGATGAATTAGCCGAAGATGGAAGCAACGGCTCAAGACGAGAACTCTCTGTGCGGGAGGGTACCTCATGAGTTGTATGTACATATAGGTACCAAAGTTTACATGGGTGGAGTGAGTAGGGGGGAGGTGGGGAATTGGCCAATAAATTATGGGTTACCCCTGATACTAGTGATTTCGACAAGGCGGCCATACTGTGAATTTAGAGGCCATGGGCAGAGGAAGAGGTCGGTTTCCCTCTGGGGAGACATGATGCCTGTTTGGATGTCTGCTGTTCCGCAGTAATGCAGTTGATGGATGTTGCCCGGCGCCTGCAGGCTTTGGCAACAACATCTTATGTTACATGCACTCACCTCTTGTCTTGTCTCGCTCCCCTTTTTCATTTGGCCCTTGTCTTTTTCTCTCTCTCTTCGGTTCCTTTCCTTCCCTCTTTACCTCCACCGTCTCTTCCACTCTCTCTCTTTCCTTCTCTTCTTTTCTCCCCCCCCCCCCCCCTCCCTCTACTATCACGGCTACCAGAAACGTACGCCTTGCTGTCCTTCATTTATCAGCAAGCGTTAATTGCCGTTTCATTCCTTCTTTGGCAAACCCGCCTAGTCTTTCATTTTTGTTCCTAATTGTCTCGAAAATCCACTCCTTCGCTTCCGTACTAGGATATTATCCAATTCCCTATTCAGGAAGAAATTCAATTCATTAACCCAACCAATTGGCAAGAATTCACTTTCTGTGCAATTGGCAAAGGAAACCTCAGTTACCACATTCATTACTATTAAATATGGACGGCCATAGTCACAATCGCCGTTCGCGCGTGCAGGGCCGTGATGCCCGTGCCCGTGCTCATATTCATGATCACGCAAAGAGGGAGGTTGAGACAATGGTAGAGGTCGTCTATGTAACTGCAACGCCGACTGGGACTGGGAAAGTGATTGGGTATCAGACTTTGGACGATAGCGACTCTTCCTCAACCCAGGTCAAGACAACCACTCCTGCAACGCCAAAGACAACCGCTACCAGTACCCAAGCAAAGACAACCACTACTGCCCAAGCAAAGACAACCACTACAGCTGCAGCCACAACACCAAGGACAACTTCGACCCCGAAGACCACAGCAAAGGCGACGTCAACCCAGGAAACTTCTGAATCTGAGACAGAATCCGAGACCACCGAGGCCGCTTCGTCAACTACTGAAGAGCCAAAGACCACGGCGTCTTCAACTGTGGAGGATGGTGAGTCGCTAATTCCTTCGGTGTTGAATGATCCATGGACTGAGAATTGTAGACGCAAGCACTACAGAGAACCCTATAACTTCGGTTCAGACAACCTTCAGTACTCGTGCCGCTTCCAGTAGCAGCGTCTCTTCTGCGGTTGCTCTCGAGTCTGCCACCAGTACTATAACATCCGCCTCCTCGACTAGCAGCGCCGTACCAGCATCGGGCGGATTAGGGACTACTGCGACTGCTGGGCTGATTGCTGGCGCTGTTGCGATTCTTTTGGTGGTGGGCGCATTTGCAATTTTTGCTTTCCGCAGGAGGTCGCAAAAGAAGGCGGCTGCAGCTTATGGAAAGACTGAGGATGAGAAACGTGGGGCTGCTGGAGCCGGAGGATCTCATGGGATTTCGTATGACGAAAAATCAAATGACACCCCCCCTGCTACGAGCTACGACAAGGCACCGAGGGTTTCCCTTCGTCCAGTCACCGAATTCCTTCCAAATTTGATGACAACCCCCGCCGCAACAACTTCTGCTGCTAGTACCACGACTGCAGCTACTGCAGCAACAGCAAGTATAGCAACTACTGCTACTGCCAGTGCTGCTTCTGCCACCGCTGCCGCCGCTACCAAGCAGGCCAATACTTCTTCCGCTGGCTCTGCTACTTCAGCCGCTTCCCGCAAGGCACCACCAGCAGCTCTTAACCTCGTCAAACCAGAAAGCGCTCCTGCCGCTGCCCCTGTCATCATCGCCCCATCGGTTGTCTCCCCATCGGGCTCTACCTTCACAGATGTGTCTACTTCTGCATTCGTTGCGGCCAATGGCGGAATTGGACCAAATCCCGTTCACCGTGTTCAAATGGAGTTTAAGCCTTCTATGGCCGATGAACTTGAACTTCGCGCCGGTGCCCTTGTACGTCTTTTGCACGAGTATGACGATGGCTGGGCGCTCTGTACCCGCCTTGATCGTTCCCAGCAGGGTGTTTGCCCGCGTACTTGTCTTTCCCAGCGCCCTGTCAAGCCGCGTCCTCAGGGTCCTCAGATATCCACTCAACAGGGTTATGCACCTGGTCCTAATGGCCGTCCACAGAGTCCCGCTAGAAATGGACCCATCCGCGCCTTTTCTCCCGCTGGTAGCCCTGTGTTGCGCACTCAATCGCCAGGCCCTGGTCCTGCTGCACGTGGATTTAACGCCATGTCTCCTACATTGAAGACACCCCAATCCCCGGTACAGCGACCCCAGTCTACAGGTATGGGCTACGTGAAACCCCAGTATCGCCCTGCTGGCGAGTCTGCACCTAAAGTCGAATCAACCCCCAGTACACCGATAATCTCCGCCCCATCTTCGCCTATAGCTCCTCCTGCGATCTTGAGGGTTGGCCCTCCACCCCAAATCACAATCTCTGCGGCGCCAGAAGATCGCCCGGCCAGCCCTAGCAACTCTAGGCCACAGAGCCCCGTCAGTCCTGTGAGCCCTATGAACTCTGCAAGCCCTCCTGCGAGCCCTGTGAGCTCCGTGAGCTCTGGAGAAGTACCTTCTCCTAAATTTGCGCCGGTCAAATCAAGCCCCTTGGCCAATGAACAGAGAGCCAGTATCGTGGACGTTGTTGAGGAACCTGCAAGCACCGCACAACCACGTGCTAGCACCGAAAAACCACGTGCCAGTTCCGAGCAGCCACGTGCCAGCTCTGAGCAAGCTACTTTCCACGCCATGTAAAAGTGATAAATTTGTCTTTATTTCTTGCCGTGAAGAGTAAATCTCGTAATGGAGTTGTGGGGGTTCTTTTTTGTTCGAGCGGCGTGCCTCTCTTTATGAATGCAATGCGATTGTTGCGAAGGGTGGTCTTTTCATTCCTCCCTTCTCTGTTCTTGTTTTGGGTGGAATTTTATTGATTCCCCTGTTATGTCCATTTTTTTTTGAACCTCCCGTTATATCTCCTGGTGCGTTATATATTTTGTGTGATCGACCATTATTGTTTGAAACCTAGTTCGAGACAGTTTACTTTTTACCTTATATCTATTTGCCCCCCTCCAAAACGCGGTTCACCTGTGGACAATGTGCTTTTTACTTTAACTCTTCGATTCTATTTGTAAAGCTTAAGCTTGGTACCTTACTTTTTTTTCATCTCTCTATTTGTATGTGTGTGTTTTTTGCGAGAGATTCGCGATTGAGCTCTTTTTTTTGACATGGCTAATTATGCTGGAAATATTGGAATTGCTTGGCGGGGTGGTTGGTACAGGTTGGAAACTTGGTGGTGAGGGTGGCGGCGGGAGGAGAGGGGAATTGAAAAATTCGAGGTTGGGGTCTGATTTGGATTCCGTATCTATGCTGGCTATGCTTATTCTTTTGTGATGTGAAGTTTGTTTTTGGTTATAAGTGTGTTATGTGATGCTGGTACATAAACTTTGTTGTAGGCACTGTAGCGAAAGAAGATAGGCTGGTGGTTGAGTCAATGCGGGCGGGCCGGAAGTGAGCATCGGTATTACAAGTGAGCATCGGTATTACAAGTGGAATTGTAAGTTGTGAATACATGCACCTATTCAAGAAAAGAGTCCGAAAGACGGTCCCGAACATCTTCACCCCGGCTCCGAGGAAATTGATACGACGCAGGGGTTAACGTTATATCGCGGTCTTCCCTGTACCTGGGACTTTCTTTCCCTCTCAGCGTATATCGGGTAGGGCGGAAGGGGCGCAGGATGCGCCCTTGTTGTGTATTGAAGGTTACAGGAGCAAATTTCCGTCTACAGTGGTGGGTTCGTCGTTGAACTTGACTTTTGGTGAGGTCGGCCAATGTTGTTTATTATGGGTGATGGTGGGTCGGTTCTGTTTGCGTGGATGAGCCTGGTAAACGTACTCCTAAAAACTGGTTCTGGAAACTTCTATATCGGGAACTAGGGTTTAGCTCTACACGGGGCTAGCGAGGGCCAGCGAGGTCGCAGACAATACATGTAGTAATGAGATATTTTAGGTGACTACATAATACTCTTTCATAATTTCATTGGAACGTAAAGGGGAACAGTAGTAGGGTATCCACGCGGGAGGGACTGGTGTCGGAGCTATTCAAGTATGTAAGTGGCGTGGGAGGCATACAATCAATGAGTTAGTAACAGTGACGACAAATGGCATGGGAGGACCTTCATTCAGTGGTTGGAATAAAGACGAGTGATAACTGATGATTGACACATCGGCCTAGGACATGCTTTATTAGTTCATTTTTTATCCTAGCGCACGCATAAATGTGGGGTGCAGATTCCTGAAAAGGTCTAGGTAAAAATATAATCTATTGGTTGGTGCCAGCTGCCCACTGTAGAATGATGGAAAGAACGATTCTGAGGCCTGAGATATATTAGGCTAGATGGAGAGTCGGTCCTGTCCCTTACACTGTTAAAGCTGCCACTTTAATTGCCAAGCATTATGTGGCTTATGTGCGCGCAAAGTTCGTCTGATGTTACCGTCTCTTATATGCATGTTGGTAGTATTTAAATGCTTTATAACAGCTTAAGGGATGGCTATGAAAAGCTTGTTTATCCAGATGCCTGGTTCTTCTTGGCGTGGGTTCCTCAGGTACCGTTTTGGACGACGAAGAATATAGATGAGCGGCCTAATAGTAGACTACTCGACGTCATTACAGGTTAGGCACCGAGTATTTGATCCCTGGCCACCAAAGGTCCTGGGTTGAAACCAGGGGTACAGGTGAGAGTAGAAGCCGGACCTGGTTCTCGGGTAGGGTGCTTTTTTATTTTTATTTTCATGTAACATTAATTACCACTGTTGAGCAGTTATTTTCTCCATATGAGGAGCGGTGTTAATTAAATTGGGGGAGGAGTGGCATTAAGGATCGAAATGGCAGCTAGGGAAATGATCAGAATGCATCAAAACCTAATGCCAAGCCGTTCTAGCCTCAGACACTTGGTGTCTAGCAGTGGTCTGTCCATATATAAACCTTTCTGATATAATTATAGTAGAATATCATAATAGACAAAATCCTTATAGCGCGATTCGAGGGATGTAGTGAAGATATGTCAAGAATTTGGATGTGAGCATTCCGCGCGCTATTTGGACCAACGACGTCTCAAATTGTCTTTGAGGAAGTCTAGAATTAAAACGATAAAGCTAAGGTAGTAAATGAAAAGACAGTAATAGCCTTTGATTGGAGTAAGATGTGTCTATCTACTCTAAAAATTGTCATAATAAATAATACATAAGAAAAGGAATGCATCAGACGTTATAAATACATGTACTCAATAACAGAGAAGCAGTTCATACTTGGAGATGGTTCACATCTAGCTTAGATCCCTAAGCCTCGAATGATAAACAAGCACCTTTCCCAAAAATTCGAACTCCCCTCCCTCCACTTTACCGCACCTCTTCATTATCTCGTCCGCTGCAAATCCCACATCATAGCACCTAGCGCACATACCGCGCATCCCCGCCAGGCCAACCGTAGCTCTCGCATATGTCGAAAAGCTCTTCCCGTCATCACGGGTCTGACAACACCACTTATCCCCGTTCTCTTGTAGAATCTTGATCACCGACCACAAGTAAAAGGTGATATCCTCGCCCCCGCCTTTACACTCCAGCTCGCCCTCAATGACTGGGACCGCAGCGGTATCATATATCCGGCCGCGGGCAAGCTCGGCGGCGGAAGCAGCTGGTGGGGTTTTCTCCCTGCCGAAGGTGAGGTTGACGTCGCCGGCGGTTGGGGGCGCGATCTCGGCGAATGGATGGGAAAGTAGGAGTAGAGTTGGGGGAAAGATAGCCGTATTGCTGGCGACGGCATCGGCGTAGCTGATTAGCTCGGGGGTGTATGCGGTGCAGAGACCGAGAAGGAGGATGTGAGTGACGAAGGTGATGGGACTTAACATGGTTGATTATATATTTCCTTGCAGGTAGAGATAATGATAATCAGGAATAGAGATACTGATATATATCGGCCCCGCGCAGAATAAATTGCAAGGGAGAGCCGATCAATGGGGGTTTTATATATATGAGAGCCTGACTGACTGGCTTTCCATCATTAGAGTAGATGTGGCTTGATTGGTGTTGATGTCTGTTCCCAAAATAGTGTTCAGGTGTTCACGGCCTATCAAGATTTCCTCGTAAGTACCTTCTGTTGTTTAATTCGCCAGCAGATGGTGGCGTAAACAACGCCCAAAATATTGGCAATCTCTATCAACTTCCTGTGTGACCTGAGAGAAAATACGAGCTCAACATCTATTAATGGTATGATCAATACCTTTTGACTGGACATCCTCGGAATACATCTAGGTGTAGATGAGCATTCGATCCCAGCTAGAGTACATGTACTCTACTCGACGTGTAGGGGAATCCTTGGTGATTATTTGCTATGTTGCGAAACATTTGGTTATGTCACTTGTAGAGAGACTTGCCCATGCATGCATATACTAGTGCCAAGGTCAGATGACACGCAAAATGGTCTCCAGAGTATCATTCCACAAATCCATATTGGATCGTGTCTCCACAAGGCTAATAAACCTCAGCTTTCAGCCGTTCGATACGACATAATTATCAAAATGTCTCCTCGCGCTCAGAAAGACAATCTCAAAAGCTATATTAGAATACATAAATTAAGTATAGGTAGAAATAAAATGTATACGCAGATACAAAAACCATTACTCATAAGCGGTGATAAATATCTTTTCAAAAGGTTACCAGCTAGCTGTAGGTATTTCCTCGAGGAGGTTCGATCGTTGCGCATCAACACAGATCAGATCAACCAGAGGATGTCTTTGAACGCCAACTCTGCAAACTTTGGTAATACCCCTGCTGTAGCGTAATGAAAGTTCTCGAGATATGTAGGCACTACATAAATAGAAGTCAACTTATGGATTACTTTCAACACTAACTGGGTTATGTTCAACCACGCACTGTGACCACCGATCGCGGCACCTACTCTATCTCACGGGTCTGATTGGCTGGTTCCGTTGCGAAAGGAGTGACTACCAATTGGGTCTTGAAATACACAGACCGCTAAATCAGCTTCTATTCTATGTATAAAGCCACCTTAACCAGTCTCGTAAGAATTATGCCAACCCAAGTAGAGTTCTTGGAGTTCATGTATTTGACCTTGGGGAAATATAGCCATTAGAAACAGCGCTGTGGAAGTGAGACAATCAGGAGCCAATGACGATATTGACCTCTAAAATTCTTGTAGTGAGCATTGAGCACGAGGCCCTTGCCCACGAACCCTAGTTAATAAGATTGCCAGAGATTGCAAGTGCTTTTTCCTGTCAGGTTTCAGTTGTACTAATCATAAGATATCACTCGCTGATGTTTCATCGATCCCCCGACAGATATACCGGGTTTGATCGAGCGATCACAGTACAAATACATACCCCAGGGTTACCGGTCTTTGTAGCCGATCATTGAGGTCCAAGTGCACAGGCATATGAGGCTCTGAATCATTGCCGTCATAGCCAAGCTAGACATGCGCCGAATCACGTCATAACCTAACCCTGAGGATAAAGTCCAGAGTCGTTATGGATAACGGGGCACACTCCATGATGGAATGTTGACGAATTGTAAGGTGGCAGATCCCCCACAAATTAGTTGATTATGGCATGCAATAAGGGTATGCCATGCACCGTCGATCCAACCTTGATCCAACCTGATCCTCGTCAAAGAAATCCTGAATTGAATTGTTACCAACCGGCGTATATATGGCTTCGATTCCGCCTCTAAGTTTACCCCGGATTGTTATTCGAGCAACCACAAAAATTCACGGCAATATCAGCAGAAGAATAGTAACTTCACATCCAGAATTTCTTTTTAGGCCCAGATATTATAACACATCATTGAAAATGTCGAGCGCACACCCGAACAACACTGGCGGAACGTACACGCAGACTGGGACAAAACACGCAGATCCTTATAAGGAAAAGAACTTGGATAATGAGTGTCCGCTGAAGGACAAGGTGCAGGATTTGGTGGAGTTTGTAGAGGGATTGAAGTTTGGATTGATGACGACCCGACAGAGGGATTCAGGGTTTTTGGTTAGTAGGTGTATGGCAGTGGCTGCGAGGGTATGATCCATTCCTTACCTTTGACGGCTGATCACGAATTGAGTTGTGATTGGGGGCTCTTCTTCATTGTGCGAAAACGGACTCTAACTGTGAAACAATTAACTGCAGGAGGATGGAATCGATTTCCTATTCCACACAAACACCGAGAGCGGGAAGACTGACGAATTGGCAACTGATCCTCATGTAAACTTAGGGTTTATCAAGAGTTCAACAGTACGGAATTAAATTGGTCACTCTTTAAAAGAGAGTAAAAGCTGATGAATGGGTGATTTTGTCTAGGGTGAATGGGCTTCCATAAGCGGAATCGCAGATATTGACAACCATAGAGAGAAAGTGAAGCAGTAAGTTCAAAACTGGTAACCATGCTAGAGTTTAAATAATAACTCCTATTAGATACTACACCCCTACTCTCAAGGCTTGGGTTGGAGATCTTGGCGACGGGGTTCACAACGGAGGCCCTGATGACCCTCGTTTGGCTGTTATCAAGGTCCACGCGAAGACAGCGACGTATGCGATTCAGAAAGGAACCGCCATTTCACGGGGCATTGAGATCGCTAAGGGCACCATTACCGGAAATGCTGCAAGCACGAACAGGCTGAGAGAGTTGACGGAGGAAGAATTGAACACATTTAGGGCTAGCCAGCAGTTGATTTCGTAGTTTTTCTTTTGATGGTTTCCTTGCTTTCTGTTTTGATATGATGAGTCTTGTTCATGCAATTACGATAGTGTTCTATTTTTTGCATCCTTATCAGGGTGTTGAGGGTGTTCAGGGCCTGTTTCCAGAAAGTTCCATGTAAATCAATGTCGACGGCGATGAGGCCTATCAGTTGAGTTTCTCACCCGACATCCACCCATGTTCAAATGTTGTAAACAGAAGTATCATTCGGTCGTGTAGCCAACCAGAATAGCAATCGGCGTGTAAATTATGAGACTTCTTTACAGATGCGGACTGCATCCACAAGTCGTGAAACAAAGAGTTGATTTTCGCGGTTTGTTATCCATGTGGCGTGATCCGTGAAATGACTTCACGGTGACGGTTAATGTGGCTAGTGGGATGTTGCAACAAGCTCGTCTTCTATCCTTGAAATTCCAATGACCTTCCCGCATGAACAGAGCAAGGAATTTAACAGTTTGTCGCAGGAGAGATGCCGCAGCATGCAAATGTGCCATTTTTGAAGACGGGGATCAGCATTCTGGCCTTGGATCTGTTCGTGACTGGCTGCAACGCGTTTCGGCCCATCACATTCACATGCGATAGTCTGACGTATGTGCATGGGCTTGCTCCGTTCCTTGGAGGTGCCGGGTCGTCCGGCTGAGTGACTGTGCCACAGGTTCAGTTCTGCGGAGGAAAGCTTTGCCGCTGATAACAAGGCTCCAGCCACGACGTAATAGAGGATGCGAGACTTTTATCTGGCTCCCCTGCAGACGCACACGACACGGAGAGCCCTCGGGATTCAAAAAAAACCATAGCTACCCTTCCTCCCTTCCATCTCCTTCTCTTCATCACAATTCATCTTTGCAACTTTGTTATACCTGCTCTTTTACCTTTCTGATCCAATCAAACCGTAGTTTCAAACCATCTGAACAATGGAGTCACCAACTTACTCCTCGCCTTCATCAGAAGAAACAGCTCCTCAACAAGTCTTGAACGGTTAGGTATGTTTCCCCACTGATTCGAATGATTTCTTGCTGGTTTTCACTTTTACTGATCATATTTTTTTTATCTACAGTTCCCGATTCTTTCATTTCTTGACATCTCGTATTGACATTTGACAGGAACCAATACCGTTATCCAGAAGACAAAGGCCGACTTCCAAGGGCTTGCGAATTCAGCGTCAGTCGAGAATGATTATGAAGGAGATCAACCTTTGACACATTATCATAGTTTCTTTTTTGATCTTTTTACAGTTCGTACCACTATCCTGTTCTTATCTCTCTCCCAACAGTTGATTTGTAGCTGACTTTCAATAAGTGGAAATATCCGCGTGCCACTGGTTTCTTCTTTTTCTCAGTCATCTCTATGATTACTGCGTTCCGGTTCATCAACGTGCTCCGCTGGGTTTTCAAAGGAGCATATCTGCTCTTTGCCTGTAAGATTTGTCTCTTCCACATTTGTGCTTATTCCGCTGCAGGGATATGGTTTCTGTGTTTCAGTTAAGTATCAAACTAACCTTTGGGATGATATACAGCTGCTGCCCTTCTTGAAGTAGCCGGCAAGCCTTTTGGCGCAAAGGGTCTTGTATCTTCAATGCGCCCTAGACGATACCACACTATCCCTAGGGAATCGGTCGAAAAGCTCTTTAACGAAGCCCACGACTTGTTGAACTTTTTCGTTGTTGAATTCCAAAGGGTTATTTTTGTAGAGAATATCTTTGCTACAATTGTCGTGAGTATAACCTTTTTTCATTCCTTATTCATCTTTGGAAAAATATGGTTTGCTGATAAAGGGTTTGTAGGCATTTGTGACAACATTCGCAGCATACTTTCTTATTAAGTACATGCCATTCTGGTCCCTATTGCTCACTGGTAAGGACTGCTTGGCTACATCAGCTCTTAAGTTTAATCAAGCTAATTTTTCTTTGCACTAGCCACTATTACTGCATTCACTGCTCCTTTGATCTACCTTCAAAACCAGGAGTTTATCGACGAGAAGATCCGCCAAGGAAATGAACTAGTTAACGAACAGCTCAATACTGGACGCGAACTTACTGTAAAATACGCCGGAGAAGCTGCTGCCCGCGCTCGCTCTACTGCTGTCGACCTCTCGCAAAAAGCCCAAGGATATGCCCAAAACGTTCGTGGCTCATCTCCCGCTGCTACCTCTAAACCATCAACAACCTCAACTGCCGATAAGGAATTCCCTTCTGTCCCTGTACATGAACCGGCTACCAACGGTCATAACGGCCAGGTTAATGGCGCCAACGGTCACAACGGTCTCAATGGCGCCAACGGTGCCAATGGATTTAGTGCCAAAGTACAGGATGAATACAGACCAGAGCAGCCTATCCTTGCTTAGATCTAGGAGAGCTTTCGGCTAGGTCATAAGATTCATTTGTCTTAATCGATCGAGGTAGTAAATACTGGTGGGGAGAGAGGAAGAATGGAATTGGGATAGGGTGTTAACAAAAAAAATACGGCAGAAGGTGGTTTCATTTTGTTTCTTTTTAACCAATTTATGCTATTACGTTTGGGTGTAAGAACCAACAGAGAGTCGGGGCGGTCACGAAGTTAATGCTTTCGCTATATTTACTGCGTATCATTTCTTTTCTTAGTTTTTGCTCTTATCTGGGAATGTTGTAACTACTTTTTTCGGGTTCAGTTGTTACCAGTATGCTTCCTTATTCGGTTTGGGTGGTGTTGTCTACTGTCTTGTGTGTTGTCTTTTCCTCGAAATTTGTTCACCTAGCTTCAGTTCTTGATACCGCGTTGATGAATTCAGAATGCAAAGTGCAATCGAGGAGTTCGACAATCTTGATCTAATGCATTGCATGAAAATTTTCTTAACCCTTGTTGATCCAGGTCATATCCATTACGCTGTCCTTTGTTATCATGTACTGAGGTGGAGTGAGGAAAGGATGTGAAATTTGTGCCTGAAGATACCAGGCGCGCTACCTAGTGACACCTGCAGCCAGCTTCCCGCCTCATCAGGATGTGGACACTGTGGTTCGTAGTTTGTGACAACGTGATGTTCCAGACATGTGGGCTGAAAAGAGTCAAAGCCTCAAAGGACACCTTGTAAAGATGAATCATGATACATGTTGTACCAGATGCAGGGTTAGGGTTCCAATATTCACTTTGAATTTGCATGAGAAGTCTCCAACGGCCACAAGCTCAGTTCAAATAGAACTGAGTCAAGTTACCGAAATATGACTTACCCTACTATTTTCGTTTCGGGCCTTGGCACGCAATCCCTAGTGAGGGTTTAAGTGAAATTCAATATGAATTAGCGTGAGCCCAATCTCGGTTCAAAAGGCACCAGTGGTACCCGATGGATTGGGTTTAATGGTTATTTTACTTTCAACTTTCAAAATCCCCAAATTCTTGGCGCAAATATTCAGAGTTCTGCTTTAAGTAATGTCTTCAAATAGCCTTTCCATCTTTGTCAAGATAGTATGATTCACATGCTTGCTGTTTATTATATAAGCGGCGCTGCGGGGATGAGGCTCGTATGTAGCAGGGCAAATACCCTGTAGGGCAGGCCTTAATGTAGTTACAACTTCTAGAATACACTGGACGGTGCGTCATTTCTCAAGCAAACGGAGGAGTCTCGCATAGAAACAAAAGGACCCCGATCACTCTGGTCCTGTATATTACCACCCGAAAAGCTCTACATTACTCTCTAATTAAGTATACGCAAAATGAGCAAAAAACAGTCCGCCCGCAGCAGCAAAGCATTCACACCTTCCACATCCTCGGGGGTGGGGGGATTCGGTGGATTTGGTGGATTCGACACAGCATCAACATTCTCATCGGCCTCAGCGTCGCAACTATCCTATGTCACACCGCCACCAGACCTTAAAGGAATCAGCGATTCAAGCGTCGTGGTGTTATTTAAGAATTTGTCAAAAAAAGATGATACGACGAAGTCGAAAGCCCTGGAAGATTTACAAGCGGTGACAGATGTTGAGGACACTATTATCGCAGCCTGGGTGCGTATAGATATTTCGATTCATGAAAATAGTGCTGAATTGTTCTGTCCTGCTACTTATAGGTCTTACTATACCCCCGACTCTCGACCGATACTTCTCGACGAGTACGGACCCTCTCACACACTGTTCACGGTCTTATTTCGCAGCGTGCTGGGAAAAGAATCGCGGAATATATGCCTCGAGTGATTGGAGCTTGGCTTGCCGGGTTATACGATAATGATCGGGCTACATCAAAAGCTGCAAATGATGCGCTGAAGCTTGTATTTTCATCCGAGGAAAAGATTGCAAAGGTGTGGAAGGCGTATCAGGTAGACATTGTGAAATACTGCACGAATGTGGTTCTACATGAGACTGTCGACACTTTGAGCGATGAAAGGCAGGTGTCACCAGATGATGCGCAGAACAAATTTGCGAGAGTTATCGCGACGAGTGTTTTAGCTCTTGGTCACCTCATCTGTAAGCTCTTTCCCGTTGTACTAGTGATTCGTGATCATAGCTAACAGGAATAGCCACACTTCCGGAAGCCGAATTGAAGAAACAGCACGACTCATATTCTGCAGTCATTTCTGAACCTTATCTATGGTCATTCTCCTACTATTCGGACCCTTACCTTCGAAAGGCATTATACAGATTTCTCACTCTTACACTAACTTTCATCCCCTCAATCATTTCCTCTCCAGAAACCTTTCCCATCGTTTCGGAGGCAATCATTACAAAATCTCTTGCCAAAAGTCAAATCGGCTCTGTAATTGATTATTTAGATGCCCTTATATCATTAACGTCCTCACTCCCGACTTCATGGACAGTCTTAAAACCGTCAAAGAAGCGGACTCCAATTGGAATGCTGATAAAATTTGTGAAAACTGGATCCCAGTCTGCTGGTCAGGAGTATTGGAGAAAACTAGTGAACTTGATTTCTGCAATACCACGAGAAATTCTTCCGAAATCACTTGATGGCATCCGGGAGCTATTGGTAGGATTTGTGGATGGTATCTGTAATGGGCCGGAACCAAGGACTCATTTGATATCAGCTTGGGGAGCCTACTTCAGTGTCATCTACTATCTCCTTGCTTTAGAGGGAGGGGATGCAGGCGAGGCTGCTAAAATCATTGAGAAGTCGATATGGCCCATATACCATAACTATATGCTTGGAAATACGGACGAGGCAGAGAAGATGAGGGTTCCATATTATGCAGCGAGTATATGCGCTAGTGGAGTAGCAATGGCTGGTGCGCATGACGAGCGAATTGTACATCTTATGAGAGAAGGTGTATGGAATAAGGTGGAAAATTTGCTACTTGAGCGCATCGCCAAAGGAGATACCGATGGCATGGGTCAAAAATGGGTCGATTTGAGCGCAGAAATCCTCAAAAAGACTAAGGAGGAGAATCAAGTGGCTGATATCGTAAAAGCTAGTAATGTCGACATTTTGTTGCAGTGTATTTCGGCGGTGGTGAGCGAAAAGGGTGTGTATTTTGATCTTTTTAGTCCCACGAGAGGAAACTGACAAGAAACAGGCAAGTCAAGTGATATGTCCTTATTACTAGAGCAGATGCTTTCGAATTTTGGCTCTAGCGTTTTAAGTATTCAAACGGCGCAGCAGGTTTGTTTCCAAGTGGCTACACAGACAGGGAGGAATAATACTAATATCACTAGGCAACGACCGTCTTCTTTACCGAAAGCCTTCCAGATCTCCTCCTTTCACCATTATTGCCGCATATCCTGTCAGCCCTCATAGCATATGGCACACACACGCCCGATTTCGCCCCCTTCGAAACAGCATGGAAGAAAACAATCCGTTCCATTCTTCTTTCAACTCTTTCAAAAGAAACCAAAGAAGCCCGCATAATCCAACTCCTACAATCAACCCCAACTTCACTTCAAAACAGAGTTCCACCAGTGGCAGAACTAGAACATTATGTGAACCGGAAATTAGAAGCTAGTTTAGAAACTGATGAAGCTGCAGGATGGGAGATGATGAAATCGTCATTCGGTTCATCGGTATTATCGGAGGGTAAGATTATGGAAATGCTTGTGATGCTTAGTGATGGGTTATCGCTGCAGGAGGGACGGAAGTCATCATCTGTGTGCAAGCATCTTGCAACTGTTGCCAAACAAAACCCGCAAGTATTGGTGGGCTTTGCAACGTCGAAGGATGGTGCAGATATGGTATACCGATTGCTGGTGCTCATAGAATCACCTGAGAGCGAGGTTTCAGACGCGGCGAAAAGTATCTACAAAGTTCTTGAAGCAGGGCTCGCGGCTAGTAATACGAAGGATCAAGCGGAGGTTGTGGGTACTGTGGTGGACATCATCTCGAAGAGTGTCAGGGAACCCAAAGATGTAGAGCTTTCGCTGCATGCCCTTGCGGAAAAGGCAAAGGCCTTAATCGATCGAGCTCCAGCGGGCGAAAAGGTGACGCTTGTAGAAAAGCTGTTGTTTACACCGGAGCTCTGGAAACGTGAGCTGGGCCCATGTTTGATGGGTGCGGTGAAGATGTCGCTCGCTATTACAAACCCGATCGGTGGAGCAATTTTCTTTGCTGACAAGCAAAAGGCCCCAGTTTCCACTTCTATTGTTCGGGACCGACAAGGTGTTTCAGCTGCAATGAGGATGGGAATATTTACAATCGAGTTCCTCAAAGCGATGGGCTCGTTCAACAGAAGTCAGGATGATGTGTTCTCTCAGATCTCAGAGGATGCACGGACAACGCTGTTTTACCACCTTGCGTTGACCTTGGAGTTGGCCAAGGATAATGTCGCCATTACTGGTGCCAATTATCTCTGGACCGAAAACTTGCCAGAAGTTGAACAGGAGGCTCTAGAGTTTGTTTCTGATATCCAAAGTTTCATTGCAAGTTGTTTTGAACAGGATGATCTAGCAGGATATCTGTTAGTCGTGATTGAGCGCCTGATGGAGGGCTCCGTGGAGCAGCCCGCGAGTACGTCAGCATTTTACTCGGCAAGGGCTTTAACCGGGGTAATTGGAGGCCTCGCAGATCATCATAAAGTCACATTGGAGCAAACACAAACTTGGCTGAGACTGTGTGATGTAAGGAGAGGCACTGACGTGTTTCGGATTACTGCGATACTCACAGGACTATCCGAGTTGTTGGAGCATAGTAAAGATGCCGATAGACTACGGAATGAGCTTGCAAGTGATGTGATGGGCGTCCCCAGATCCAAATGCGGGGAGGAAGGTTTTCGCAGGCTGGTATTCTTGAATGCAGTTCTTCCTAAACCTGGTGAAGACGTGGCTCCGCTTCCACCTCAACGCACAATCCTACTTATCAAACACCTTCTTTCCTGGTTTGGTGAAAAAGAAGAGCCCGAGACAGAAATTAACACAGAGGTCCTCACAGAAGCTA